TTAAAGCATAAATTAAAATTATCAATCAAGAACTTTAAATTATATTATTGTTAAATGGGCCGGTCAGCAAAACCGGTTGGTCAACCGGTCGGTCGGTCAAAGGCCTTTGACCGACCGTTGACCGACCGTGAACCGACCATGACCGACTGTTACCATCCCTAGTTAATAATACATGGAATTACCGTTACCTTCTATTTCTTCTAATGAGGATACTTCCATAACATCTGAAAATGACTCTGTGAATTTGTGAAATAAATTTTTTTTAGAAATCATCTAACCGTAAAGTATACTCATTTCAGACGTGCTAAGTTTTATTTCCGTTATTTTTGTTGGTGTAATATTTTTTTTTGGCATTTCTATTAAACTTTTACCTTTATTGTCATCAGACATTGTTATTATTTTTAAAAGAAAGCTTTACAGTATTTTAAATTAAAAAAAAATTTTTTTTTTTCCAACCAAACCAAAAATTATCCTGGTGATACATATTGTGTCAAGATATGAAGATCTAACCGCAGTATTTGAGGCACAGCACTTTAATATTACGGTAAATATTAAATTTTTCATAACTTAATTATTGTATTTTTTTTTTTTGAGAAAAATTATTAATAATTACGAGGCGTGCATACTAAATTGTAGAAAAAAAAAAAATTTCAAATTTAGAAAAATTTTAAATTATAAGTATTGGTCTTAGCTACAAAATTTTTATTTCTTTATTTAATTGAGATTTAATTTACCTTCGGCTGCAATTTTACTTTCTACATACTTTAGTTTTTAACGGATTTTTGTATTAATAACATGCTAAAAAATTAAGCCAAAACCTTTTTATGAAATTTAAGTCACGTCACTCTACAGTTTAACTATTATTAGTTGATATTTACAAAGTTAAGAGTCGTTAAAATAGATTATTCTAGTTCTAAGGTATACTCGAAAAATTCTGAACCAGTAAAGTTATAAACCTTCACTTCATATTTGGAAATAAATATAAGGATTAATGATCTTTCGTCATTGTAGTAAAGTGACGCCTGAAGATGGAGCTTTAACACCATAATATGCTGTCACAAGCTCTGAAATTGTTGAAAAGATTACCTTAATCAATATTTTGAACCATTTGCTAAAATTGAAAAGAAATCTGCGTCAGCTCAAGATGTGAAACAAGCCGAAATATGATATATGAACTCATAAAAATTGAAAAACAGAAAATTATATCTTTTTATAATAAGATCAATCAATAAACTTACTTTTCTTGGTCTTTCATAATATATCATATAAAAAAAAATACTTGATTTCATTATTTTTAAATTTTTAAATTATTTTGTTAGGATGAACGAATAAAACAAATGTATCGAAAACCTATGCTTCAATTTTGATAATTTTAATATCTAGTTCAATTTTCGTTAGTTTCACAAACGATTTTGAAACTAAATTATCTTCTTTTTAAATTTTTTTTTACGACGACTGTACTGTGTTAACTGTTTGAAACTCTTATTACGTTAAAGACCATTTTATTAGATTATAGACATTTTATACAATACATTACGTCCACATTTATAATATCGTTTATATCAGCATGCACACAACCATCCTTCTCAAATTATTGTACGGAACGTATGACAGTTCTAGGTGGATTTCCCTTATTTTATATATATATATATATATTTTTAGATAATTAATAATTCCAATAATTGTTTTTTATTAACTGTTCTTTTCTGCGGTAATTCTTCAAAGTTATTTTTTTAATTATCGTTATAATTTTTGTTACTTATTTTATTTTTTATTTAGACGATTTTTTGGACGATTACTTTCAGCATCATTATCGGGAGGTAGCTAACATTTAAACTGGATTTTTAGATAGTTTTTATTTTGTTTTGTTTCAATACTTGTAATTTATTTTATTTTCTTGGAAAAAATCTATAAAGTTATTGTATTGGTAAGGTATTCTCTTTGAGGCGGATTTTAATTTTACGGGCTGCAGCAATTATTTACAACCTTTTAATTTATTTGCATTAGTCCCTTTTTTTTATTTATTTCGTTTCGATCGTTTTGGGCAATGTTCTGCTTCCGGGTTAGTTCTCTTAGAAATTTTTCGGGCGCGAATTTATTTGATCAACAAACGGATTAAAGATCATTATTTTGAACTATTCTATATGAAAGCTTCTTTTCAATAATATTATGAAAATACTTTTCGTATGATACCAAAGCTTAATCTCAATAATGATGATAAAAGAGCTAGAAAATTCCTCCAAAGCTTTGCCGAAATTATAAAGAAATTGATAATAGTGTCAAATTATTTTCTAACAAGTCATTATAAATCGTTGATACTTTATGTAACAATATTCAAATGACCTAATTTTTAAATTTTCGATAAAATATTTTTTAATTTAAACGACAATTTATTGTATCGCTATCATCTAACCCTGAATAAAATGTACTACGGCATTTAAAGGAAGTTGCGCAGAAATCACTTGGAAAGTAATTATAATATTTATTTACATAGATTGCAGGATATAAGAATATTATAAGATATATTTAATGCTATACAGTATTCCGAATTCCTAATTAAAAATATTATCAATACTTACTTAAATACACTGCAAAAGGATCATAATATTATATGTTAAACTAATTTTTTTTTAAAAAAATAAATTTATTATTAGCAAGTACACTTTTTGATAATTTTTGTTATTAAATTAAAATTTAAATGTCGCAAAATACTATTGGTATTCATCACGCAAGATTGGCAAATACATTACTTTAAACGAACAAACAATGATATGCTGCATTACATTAATATTGGTGAGCACTACATATGCTGATTGAAAATTTAAATGTTCTATTTATTTAATTTAATGCTTTTTTGGACAACACTCCTCTTAAAATTTCTTTGCTTTAGAGTGCCAACCACAATTATCAATGCAAAATGTAAATTATACGTTGTTGTTTATTGCTCGTCACAAATCGTTTTAAATTGTCTAACATACAAATTATCATTTAAAGCAAGCAAATTTACCTTTACAGAGTCGAACATGCGGCGAAAGCTTGATACTGGGAGAAGAATATTACTTCTGCAAGTAAATATTACGTTATTATTACAAGTATTCAAATTTTATCTTTGTCATTATTCATTGAAATATTTACAATGGCGTATCATTGTAGGACGTGCGCTACTAATGAGGATTCAGTTCTCTGCAATCGTTGCTACGTTGGAACAAATCACATTGGGCATGACATTTTCTCTATGACAGTCACGAATTCCAACACAAAGTGCGATTGCGGTAATGCAAGTTATTGGAAGTCTCATCTCAATTGCAAGTTTCATCCATATGATACTCGAATAGGGTTATCTTCCTATTGTGGAAAGAAAATTGCTGTTAGAGAAGTTTATTACCATTGCAGGTATGTATTACTCTAAAATCGACCATATTTAATCTGAATTCTAAACATTTTATCGTCAAAATTACGTTCTCAATTTATCGGTATAGTACTTGTTTTATTCGTTATGATAATGTCATCTGCGATCGTTGCTACGCCGGGTCAAATCACGCTGGACATGATGTTGCCACAATCGAAAATTCCTGGCCGAGCGCATGGTGTGATTGCGGTGACTATTCCATTAATTGCAAATATCATCCCCCGACAGAATCTGATAAATATCCTGGAACTACTGCTTAGTTTTGTGGTTACACAAGCATACTCTCAGAAATCATGCGATTGTAATTATTTCAAGTTGCCTAATATATTCCAAAATATAGTCTTAATGTCAAACTATCTATCTGTAGAAATATTTGCAATCTTTAATTATTGATTAAAAATATACGGTGATCAAAAAGCTTCTGAATATTTTATGTGCGACCCGATAATTTATTATTATAACCTCAATTTTAGATTATTAAATCTATTTACTTTCACGTTCCAAAGCTACAATCTAAATTATATTCTCGTCCAGTTCTTTATGATCTTCAACGTTCATTCAAAGTAATAAACACGCCAATTGAGAAAATACAAAATATTTATTTACATTCATTTTTTTAATTCAACTAAAATAAAATTTAATTTATTTCTCGTGTCATATGAAAGTTTAATTTATTTTTTTTACTGTCTTCATGTGAACTAGTGTCACCACAAGTTACCAAATTTAGATATAATTTTTGATCATATGTCATCCTCCTAAATTCACGAGAGGTGAGGTAAGAAATGTAGATTAATTTAAGGAGTCCGATTCATATGGCGCAACAATTTTTTCAGACGTCGTAAATTTTTCACAAGTGACATGCAAATAAGTTCTCGACATATTATTAAATGTTTAACTGCTAATTTATCATCGATGAATTGTTACTTAAAAGAAATAAATGTTTAGTCCTTAAATCATAAAAATTATTAAACACAATTTATATATTTAATTTCCTATAGCGAAGCTTAGTACATGCGAAAATTTGAAAAGTAATGTGTTTTTAAATTTTCGATTTTACACCTTGCAATGATTTAATTTTAACAATTATTTAAATATTTTATTAAGCATAAGCTAGCCATATGTTACTAAAAGAATATGGCGCAGTTACATATGAAAAATTAACTAAATATCTAAATCAAAATTATGCAATACTTTTGTCCTCCCTCGGTATATAACGATAAATTTAATTTAAATTATTAAGAACAATAAAAGCACTAATCTAAAACAACATAAATAAAGTATTACTTCAATCGTCAGCGCTCTTTACGATCAGATACGTATCTTAATTATCATTTCGATATCGTTACAATAGACGCGAAGGGTAAATAAAATGCTATGCTATTCTAATCTAGGGACATGCTTTCTTTCCAAGCGAAATCGCATCATTTTTATATTCGTGTTGTACCCGAAATGCGTTAATGTCATTTCGGACATTAACACATTTCGGGAACATACGTCATTAATAAATTTATAAAATCCAACTATCTTATATTTACATTCCTAAATTAAATTATAAGGAACCTGCTTAATGGTTTTGTAAAAAAAAAATGCAACATTATGTAAGGATGCATACGCACACAAAATTAATTGCTGTGTTTGTACCACAGTACAGTGCATTTGTGCATTTAGCAAATAAATTGACATTAATTTATTGTTTTCTATCATGAATGTCGTTAACTTTTTTTGGTTGATCAGTACAACCTAATATCCAAAAGCAATGTAACATTTGTGCTCTATTTGAAAACTCTTCAAAAATTAAAAGTGCTTCTTTTTTTTTAGCAAAAATTTTTTTTATTTATCGCATTATGACTTCTACTAGTAGAGAATTAGTTCTAGCTGCTTATGTTAGGGCATTTGTACTGACAGATTATAATATAGGAGATGACATTGACAAACGACATGAGCAAAGAATACATATAATTCATACAGATGAGTCACTTACAGAAGAGGAAAAATCCAAAGCAGTCATAATGTTACATGAGGCGAATGATTATGACAAAGTTTTTTTTGAAATAGGAGCAAAGAGGTTATGCAAATATTGTCAAACGGAATGTTTGGCTACAACATTTTGTGAGATTTGCATTCGAAATTATTTAAAAGCAAATTTTTCAAATTGGACATCTGAAAATAAAGAAATTGATGATTTGATAAAGAAATGTCAGGAAGAATCACTTGTTCCGTATCAAATAATTGAATGGATTCCATATGAGAATTTGCATAACATAAAATATTTAACGAAAGGTGGATGTTCTGAAATTTATATTGCAGATTGGGTTAATGGACGGTATGATAAGTGGGATTTTGAAGAACAACAATTAAAAAGATCCGGAACAAGAAATGTGATACTAAAAAAGTTAGAAAATGTTGAACGTGCTAGTAGAAGTTGGTTTGAGGAGGTATATATTTTGTTAAAAATACTTTTATAAATTAAAAAATGGTAACTAATTATAAAGAATTTTAATAGGCAAAATCACATTTAACTATGGGCAATATGTATCCAGGAATTGTTCTTTGCTTCGGTTTAACACAAGATCCATTAGATAGAAACTATTGGATTGTAATGGATAAATTGGATATAGACTTGAGAAAATATTTAAATGAAAATTATGATCAACTAACATGGAAAGAAAAGATCGAAATTTGTGTCGCTATAATTGATGCGCTTGATAAAATCCACGAAGAAAAAGCAATTCATAGGGATTTACACTCAGGAAATGTATTATTTTCGAAATATTCTAATACTTGGTATATTAGTGACCTTGGATTTTGTGGTCCTATTCAAAAGCCATTAGGTAGTATATATGGAAATCTTCCCTATATAGATCCTCAGGTTATTGCCGGAAAAGATTATACTTGTGCATCAGATATTTATAGTATTGGTATGCTTATGTGGGAAATTTCATCCGGGAAACCACCTTTTCCAGAATTTGATCAAGATTGCTATCTTGCATTTATGATATTGAATGGAATGAGACCAAAAACAATAATAGGAACTCCTTTGGAATATAAAAACTTAATGGAACTGTGTTGGGACGCAGACCCATTAAAGAGACCTGATATTAACACTATTGTGAAGGAAATTACAGAAATACAAAAATCATATTATCAAATTGAAACTGATGAAGGAAAAACAATTGTATCTAATGAGGGAATTGTTAATTCGCAATTTAATACAGATATTAATAACACATCTAATTCATATAGTTCAATGGATATAAACTTTAGTAAAACACATATCTTTGATGATTTGCCTGAACCGAAAAATGCTTCTAAAGGTGAATTATTAACAGTTATTAATCAGTATAATTCGTTTAAAATACTATCATGCTTACCTTTTTATTTATCAATAATAGAAGAACAAGAAGGTAATTATTTAAGAAATAAATGTTTCATATATTTATAGATATTCATTAAAATTATTTTTTATAAAAGATTATTACAGTATTCAACTTCGAAAAGTTTTAAGTAAAAGAAGTATAATCGATAATGATGTAAATAAAAATAATATGGTATTTAGTGAAAGTTTAGGTAATTAATTTTTTGCATTTATTAATTATTATTTTTTTACCTTTGATTAATTTTCTAATTTTTAAATTCTTAGAAAATTGTAGGATTCCTAGATTAGATCAACCTGAACAGACTGATTCTAAAAATCAACAGGTTATAACCATCAAAACTTCGAATTTTTAAAAAAATCGAATATAATTAACGTTAATAGATTTTCATATTGATTATCATAACTCGAAACATTTTTTATATTACAAACAAATGAGCATTGGTTAAGTAATTATAATACTATCTTCATCAATATATTGCCTGACATTGCGTTCCAATTTAAAATAATAAAAAAATAATTAAATGAGAATAGTTAATTGTATAGTTTTTAGAATTATAATTATTATTATCTTTAAAAGAAAAATGTACTTAGTAATTGAAATTCATGAAACAGACTCTAATAATTACAAATTTATTATTTTTTTTTTGTGAAATATAATAAATAATTACCCACCCAAAAATGAGATACCGGTATTTAAATTTGGCTTAACTACGAAGTTATTAATTTACGTGAATGATATGTCAAGGTAACCAAAAATAAAAATTTTATAAATTTATAAGTTTATTAAAGTTTATAGTGAATAAATTAAGAATGGTATATATTTAATATTTACCTTCTTGCTTAAAATAAAAACCGAGAATCATTAATGAATAACTGTAACTATTAGATTAGATTTATATTTGTTTTCACCATTCTAATTTTCTAAGAAATATTATGAACACTTCAAAAAAATTAATACAATATTTCTTTTTTTTATTCTCTATAGATATCATATTTGCTTTTATCATTACTTTAGACGTTAAAAATTATGTTATTAATTTAAAGTTGCTTCTTCAATAAACATCGTAACACTACCTTCGCAACATTTTTTAAGTTGATATACAGTATAAAATTTATTTGTTAGGTGTGTTCGATGATCGTTTTCGAAGAGGAACTATTTCATAATATTAGATTTTTGTTAAATTTATACATATTTTGACCTAAAAAAAAAAATTTTATAAATTTGCCGGTATTATTATTCAATATAAAAATTTTTATGCGCTTATTTTATTAAAAACGAATGTAATGTAAGCCGAAGTTTATAATTTTAAATATATATTAACGAAATCCAATCTAAACAACGTAAATATGGTATTGCCTCTCGATTGTCGTCGCCTTTATATGATCAGATAAGTTTTTTATAATAGGTTCCATTTCTATTACAATATAGAGAAATTATACTATGCGAATATTCACAATTCAACTTAATTGTTTTTATCAAGGACGCATTGTCCAGAATTCATCTTGGCCAGCTAATTTTAACTAAACAAAATTGACACAAAGGAATATCATGAATATCATAATAAACGCGTTTTTCGGATTCACAAATGTGATTATTCTGCGTTATTGAAATATTCTTGCTTAATTATTTGTGAAGTTATGATTTTTTTGTACACCTTTTTTTAAAAAAAATACATAATAATGTATTTGAAATAATTTCAATAATTTCCATCAAATAAATTTCAAAGCATATACTGTAAATGCAAATGTACTGATGATACTCTATCATTAAGACCGCAAAATATTTTTAAAATGTGGGGCTTTTGCAATAGAAAGGGGAAACCGCCGGAAAAATCAAAAATGAGTTAATGCTACATATTTCAGCCTAAAAATCATATTTTTTATTTGTCATATAAAAGTAAAATTAATTTTTCCCGGCAGATTCCCCCCTTTCTATTGCAAAGGCCCCCATGTTATGAATCATTTTGAACCAATCATATACAGTGGCTCCCAAATGTTATGCATCACCCCAATTGGTAAATTTTAAAATTTAATTACTTTGTATACACGTGA